AACAAAAAAAAATCACAAAATACCAAACAGATTATTTATTATTAAATTCTCAAATTTATTACAAAAAAATTACCAAAAATTTGAAATAAATATCAAAAAATTATTTAAAAAAATCAAAAACTTCAAAACTAATCAACTTCAAACGTTTAAACATGTTTCTAATACAATATATAGGAAGGAATTGAGGTTTTCTCACACTAAATGCCAACCGATCAATGGTTCAAGCACATAAAAAACACAAAATCAACAATACAAGCCAACCACAATGTAAAACTAACAAACCCATTTGAAATACAACAGATTTTTATGGTCAAAACATTCAAAAAAACCAAGAAAAATTGAAAAGAATGAAAGAAGAGGATACTCACAGAGTAGAGATGATTCAAATGTAAAAGGAGGGGCGTTCAAACGGCAGCGGATGGAGGCAAGACACCACAAGCTAAATGGAGGAGTTTAAACGGTGGGAAAGTAAGGGGAATGGCCGGTAATTGAAACGAAAGTGAAAATGAGAGAAAACGAACGCGCCGTGTAGGGTTATTTTAAAACTTGCCACGACGGTTATTAATAAAATCGCCGTGGAAAGTAGCAGTTTTCTTAATAACCGCAGTGGAAAATCAACACTTAATTAACTTATTTACAAAATTCCACCGTTTTTTTTTCACATCATTTTTCTGATTAACCACCGTTATTCGGCGACGTTAAAAGTCTTTTTTCTAGTAGTGCATGCTAAATGCTCTTTTCATAGATTTTCTCAATTTCAATACCAATCTGTACCCCTCATTTTTAATGCTTTATACCAAATGAAACATATAGAGTCCAACCTCCTCTCCTTGGCTTCCCTTCACTATCTTCGATTTAGTTGGCGAACAAGAGGAGTAATACCGAGTCTCGAACCCCAAAGTCCTCATGAAACGTCCTAACACGATGTGGGAGCAAAACTGGTTCTCTCATGCTTATTCTTGAAAAAATTTTCTTTACTTCCTTTTTTATCCAGATGTATTTGGAGATCTCTTTCACAGCCCTCGGCATCTCCTCTTCTATTTTCCTTGTCTTCTTCCTCCCATTTCTTCTTATTCCTGATAAACTTACCTTTTTCTGTTCCTGCGTTTCTTGGGCAATCGTTTTTGAAAAACTAAATAAGAAGTGACCCGAGTACGTGGTAACCCATTGTTAGTCAGGTTATTTGTTATTACGAGATCACATCGATTTAGACTGAATTCAGATTAATATGATGCTTGAATTTGGTATCTTCAATAAGAATAATATCGAAAATCAGATGAATTCTATGATAACTTTCTTACTTTTAATTACTCCTATACCTGGGATTGGAAAAATAATAAATAAGTAAAAAATATGTTTTTCCCCAAATATGCCAGAAAAGAAAAAAAGAATGAAAGAGCGTGTATAGAAAAAGGATAATACAAGAATAAAATTAATTAGGAGTAAAATTAGTAAAAATACATTTAATATTTCAAACAATTCTAAACTAAGTCTTATAAAAACAACTAAACTAATTCAAAAATTAAGATACTATGAATAGGACCTGATGTAATTGTTGGATATTCCATCATCTCCTTATTTATAAGGTTTAAATAACTATTTCGTATATAATGGTAAAAAAAAATAATTTGGATATAAGAAAAAACCCAGTTAAATTTAGTAAAAAAAATAAATAGATTAGAAATATATTTTTGTTTTCAAATATACACTTATAATTAATGAGAAAAAGGATTAGAAAATTTATCGAGAAATGTTACGGGAGAGTATGACAAATAAAAATAAATAAAAAATTAAAAAAAATAAATGTTAAAAATACTCTAAACTAAAACTTATAAAATAGATTACATTGCAACCCAAATTTGAAATTTATAAATGGGAAGGGGAGTTTTGCTACGTGGCAGAATGCCAGTGGTTAATGCGTCATTGTGACGTAACCCTAATGACGTCAGCTGGCTCATAATACCCAAATAAAGAAATCTTGATCTTGGGCGTCCTGCAGTGCACAGCCCATGATAGAGCCTGGAAGATTTAAATGCTAATTAAAAAAAAACTTTCCCCATATAATATTTTTATTTATAAAACCAAACTCTGATATATTTATTCTAGAGTTAAGGTTGAATTTAAACAAAAAAAAAAAATCTATCCTAAACAGTACTGGACAACATAAAATCTACTTGCATGCAAAAACATACATGAAATTGTTAAAAGGAGACATCTTACATTACCACGTTAACGTCCGTTAGTGAGGCATACGAAGTCAATTTTAAGGTACATTTGTAATAACAAAATTTACATCAAGTGATATTGAGCACCATAAATTTACTTAAGTGAAAATATATATGTAAACTTTTTAAAAGGAAAAAAGTAACAAAATTCATCAACTCTCAACATTCGTTAACTTTATTCTTTTGAGTTTCACCAACTGTTATATTTTCTCTTTATCCATTCCCACTTCCTTTTTAGGAGTTAGGACCAAATTACATTCAAAGAATTATTTAATCCTCTCATCTATTTTCACATGCTCCTCTAATTCTATTTTTAAGGCATTTTCAGCATGTTTCACATAAAAAAAATGTTAGTTTTTTTTTTCTATTTAATATATACACCTTTTAAAAATAAATGAAAAACAAAATAGTATATTTATACTTAAAATTTAATGATGTGACTTATAAATATGATCAAGAAAAGCAATATCTCGTTGTCTTATAAATAAGACCACAGGAATAATTGATTAAAGGAAAAATCTCAAAAAAATATTGCCGAAATAGAAAAATTACAAATCAAGACTAGTTACAACATTAGTATGGGTTTTGACAATAATAGTATGGGTTTTGACAACAATTTTTATGAATGGGTCCTTATATGCAATTTTTCAATTTCAGTGGTCTTTTTTTTACGATTTTCCCATGATTAAATGTAGAGTAATTAAGAACATGTTTATGTTAAGTAATTAATAAAGGAGATAATTATATTTTTTAAAAAATCTATAAAAATATCAAAACGAACCACTCAATAAAGGATCCTATAAAAATTGGCGGACGGAAGGAGAGTATTTAATATCCACGATTTCAGGGAATCTGTCCAATGGAAATAATAAATAATAAAATGACAGTAAAATAATAATAACAAGTTGATGGGTATATATATATATATATATATATATATATATATATATATAAAAGCCTATAAGAATGAACAAAACAAACCACTCGATCAAGGTGCTACTAATCCATCGTCTGGGAATCCATCCAGCATTGGAAAGGATAAAAAATAAAATGAAGTAGTTGGCAAAAATAATACTACTCTGGTCCTTAATATAAAACCCATTTAATTAATTTGATTAAATTAAGAAAGTTAGGTAAGTTAGTTAATTATAAAAAATATGATACGTCTTTTTTAAAATACAATAATCATCTTTCTTAATACCTCATCTTCCTCTTCTACTTGATTATGGTTGAGGGAGTATCCATAGGAGTAATTTAGAGAAAATTGATAAATATGAAAAATGGATCTTATATTTAGGACAAAATTAAAACCAACTCAACAATTAGGTCATATATTAAAGACTGGAGGAGTACTAAAATAAGCTACCACTCCAGTCCTAAAGATAAGCCACTCTTATAACAAAAGTTTTAGTCAGAAATGCAAATTACTTGTGGTATATTTAATACTTGGTTTTTAATTTTAATTTTATTTAATTCTTAAATTCTTATTGAAAAAAGAGAAAGAAAAGAATGATATGAGAATGATTTATAAATATGTTGAGAGAGAATTTTAATAAAGGTAAAACTAAAAAATTATGTTAATTTAATGCATTTTTTCATATGTCACAGTGTGTTATAAATGATTTATATTGAAAATGAGAGAAGTAAAACAAAATAAATGAGCACAAGAGGATGGGGGTGGGCGCTTATAATATTAAATGCCATCTTTACCCTTCTTCTCATCGTCATCCTCAAACCGTACTTTTTTCCTTTCCTTTCTCTCACAACGCATACACAGAGCCTGTTTGGTTAAGCGGTGGGATCTCAAATAAGCCCGTTTAAATCCAAATAAGTGCTTATGAAGCATGTTTAGGGTGTTTGGATGATTTTTATAAAATCCCGATGAATCGTGATTTTAACCTTCCACCGCACTTTTAGGATAAACAATAAGAAGTAACTTTTGCGTTTGAAAAATCCCGATAAATATTCAGTAACTAAATTTTCTCTAATCTACCCCTCATTCTAATAGTAATTATTTTAATTTTTTTATATATTTTCATTCATCTCTTATTTATATGGGGTCTTTTATTTCATATTTGTACTACACATAAATTTTGTAAGTGATTTTAAATAATAATAATTTTAAAATAAAACCAAATATTTAAATATTCATGTCATTTATTAAATTATATTTAATAAAATTTATTATTAAATATAATAATTATGAAAATGTAAACAACTTTATTAACTTCATGTCCTTTTTAGTAATTATATACCCATAAGTGATTTTAATAAATAAAAACCAAACATAATAACAATTCTTAAAATCACTTATAAAAAAAATATCCAAACATAAATCATGATTAACTAGTGTCACTTATAGCCAGTATCACTTATAAAATTCACGATTATCTAAAATCACAGTTATTCACCGCTAATCCAAACAGGCACACAGTCTAATATTCTCATATCTTCACTGCGGGCACACAATCACATCCATCTTATATAGAGGTTTTGTGTTATACTACCTCCGGTCCTCTAATTGACTAATTTAAAAAGATTAAAGAAAGAAGTTAAGTTAGTTATTTGTAATAAATAGGTGCTATCTTTTCTAAAATATCCTTGTTAATCAAATGTATTTACTAGAAATACCATTGTTAAAAGGACTACATTGGAAAAAAATACATAAATATAAGAGACAAAGTGGATTGAGATTTAATATTTAGGACAAAAAAAAAAGCCAAACAAAGTCTTATATTAAGGATCGGAGGTAGTACTAGTATATATTAATTGGTTATGGAGAATCTGGCAATGAAAGTGCTGGAGAGAGGGCGCGAGTATGCAAACCAGATTCAACGATTTATCCGTGAGTCTGATAATGGAGAAGATGATGAAGATGAGGCCTTGACGACGTCGTATGCTCGAGATCTAGCTGCGAAGATGGGGGATTCTTTGAAAAGGGCAATTTTGCTCCTCAACAATAATCAAGATTCGGCGGTTAACTCTGAGGAATCTCACGAGAGTTCTAAGAGCAGAAGCCAAACAATGAAAGATCCAATAAGATTCTCTCCCCGAAAAAGGTACTTATAAATCAATCATAAATCATACTAATTCATCTCTCTTTCTCTATCACCTTCGTAATTTTGATTTTACTGGTCCTCTGGTCCTAAATACATGATTTGATGATTAACTACTTTAGAAATATTAAAAAATTGTTGAGTTGATTATTTACCATTATTATGAAAAAATTGTACTCCTCCGGTCCTTATTATAAGACCCCATTTGATTTTTTATTTGGTCCTAATTATAAGACCCCAATCTATTTTATCTCTTATATTTATGCATTTTTTCTAAAATAATCCTTCTAATAATGATAGTTTTAGCCAATATACTTAATTAGCAAGGATATTTTAGGAATGACAACACTTATTTATTATAAATAACTAACTTAACTTACTTCCTTAATCTCTTCAAATAAGTCAATTGGGTCTTATAATTAGGACCGGAGGAGTATGTCATTTGTTCTAAAATACTTCTCTTTAACGATTGTACTAAATGTGAGAGAAAAGAAAGTCAGAAAATTTTTTGGAATTAGTTAGGTTAGCATAGAACAAATATTAAGAAGGAAGAGAACAGGAAAAAGGTGCCTCCTATATTTTGGAGTTAGGACTAAATTATATCCATTAACTAGGTTATATATTTAGGACTGAAGAGAACATTATCCACAGATATTAATTGTCTTTTCCATCTTCAATGTCACTCATTTATTTTCACTTTTGAATGATTATCATCAGAATTTTAATTTGTTTATAAACTACCGCTTCGGTAGTTATTATAAATCACTTGTAATTCATTATCACACATAAAAAAATCCATTAAATTGATAAATATTTTTAAATTTATCCTTATTAAATTTTTTTTCTTTTCTGTGCATTTACAAATTATTTTCACATCTTTCTCCTCTTTCTCTCTTTCTAACAAGTAAAATTAGAAAACGATCATTATATTTAGGATCAAAAAATTTTCGTGCGAGTACTCTATAATTAGACCCCGAGTGGTATACATAATGGCACAATCCTTATTATACAACCGACTTCATTTATTGGGACGGAATTTATTGTTATTGTTGTTTGTGATTTTGCTCGGGTCTAGCTCTGGCTTGCCGTCAAGTCCTGTATATTTTCTTTAATAAATATGCCTGATTTTCACTTTGATGCATTTGGAGCATGGACAAATTATTTAAAGAAAGAGAAAATGTTTGGGAATTGTTTTTGGTAAACGGTATAGTAGCTTTAATTATTTGTCAAAATTATTGCGATACATTTTCACATTATGATTATTCCCCATTTCCCCCTCTGAGTCCATTATTGAATTATGGTGATCCACTTAATTAATAACCGGCAAATTAAACAAGTCCTCTACATACCTTCTTGCTTTCCTGGAGCCTTTAATCAGACGGTCCCATACGTAAATTTTATTCCATGTATAACTGCAAGTATATATGATTCTGATTTTTCTTTTCATATGCTCCATCCAGTCCTTAAGATCCAAATTTTTGAATTGATCCGGTCCTTTGTATAATGTACAATTTGGGATTATCTAAACATTAAATGCATCATTTTATCAATTTTACCCCTTATTAATTATATGATCTTTACCCATACATTCTCTTCCATTTTCTTCTCCTTATTTCTCTCTCTTACTTATCATCTTATAAATAAGAATATACTGTTCTTAATATAAAAGCTAATTTGATATTCAATTTGGTCATAAATATAAGACTTCAATCCACCCTATCTCTCGTATTTATCTATTTTTTTTCAAAGTAATTCTCCTGTTGCACATGTTAAATGTTTCATTAAATAGTAGTTCTAACTAATACATATGATTAGCAAGTATATTCTAGAGAAAATAAATTGTTTTTATTATAAATAACTAACTTAATAAACTTTTTTAATCTACTAAAATTAGTCAATTAGCTTTTATATCAAAGATTGAAGGTAGCATTTGGATATATATATATATCTTACATATTTATTACTTTTAACTGATGTTAATGGATTTTCTCACATCAGACTTGAAGCAAAACAAGATGCTAGCACTACCAGAAAAAAGGCTTTTCACGGCGGTTTTAAAGGCGAAGTTGATAAAGGCGATGTTGAAAGGTAAAGAAAACACGGCGGTTTCAAAGCGCCAGGAAAGTTGATTTTCCACGGCGGTTTTCTATTTGACCGCCGTGGAAACTCCATTTTCCACGGCGGTTTTACATTTGACCGCCGTGGAAAATCCATTTTCCACGGCGGTTTTCACATCCAATGCCCACCAATCAACACCAATCAACGGTTCAACCACATAAAAAATGCAAAATGAACAATACAAGCCAACCACAATATAAAACTAACAAACCCATTTTATATATAACAGATTTTCATGGCCAAAACATTCAACAAACCAATAAAAATTGAAAAGAATGAAAGAAGAGGATACTCACAGAGCAAAGAAGCTTCAAACGCGAAGTGAGGGCGGCGGCGGACGGCGGCAGACGGCGGCAAGGCACGACAGATGGCGGTAGACGGTGGGATAGTGGGGGGTATGACCGATTTTCGGTGGTGGGACAGAGGGGACCACGACTGAGCAAGAACGAAGCGAAATGAGAGGCGTTCGACAGTAGCAGACGGCGGCAAGGTACCACAAGCTCAATGGAGAAATTTAAATAGTGGGATAGTGGCAGGAATGGCCGGTAATGGCAGTTTTTTGGTGGTGGGGTAGAGAGGGACCACGGCGCACTGAAGAAATGAGAAAGAAAGTGACCGAAGTTGAAGCAGAGAAAGGTAAAGAGAACACACTTTCCACGGCGGTTTTCTTAAAAACCGTCGTGGAAAATGTAGGCCCTCTTCAACTTATTTACAAAAATGCTACCGTGTTTTTTTCCACGTCGTTTTTCTGCTTAACCGCCGTTATTTTGCGACGTTAAAAGTTTTTTTTCTAGTAGTGTAGCTCTTGCAAAGAATAGACCAATTAAGGAGAAAAATAATGAAGTTGATAATTTTTAATAATGAATTGAAATTTTTGGTGGCAGGAAAAGTGTACAAACATGGGAGGAGTATACCAAAATTCCAAAGGAAGATGGTTATGCATGGAGAAAGTATGGCGAAAAAATCATACTCAATGCCAAATAACCCAGGTTTTCCTCTTCATTCAATCTTTTCTTTTTTTTAATCTCATTAAGTATTTTTGAATATTATATAGATATATATATATATCCTCCTTTACTTGTTGCACTTTAAATTGCTAGTAATTGAAATAATGAACAAGCTTCGACAAGCTTAAAGTGCATCATCAATTTTTACGAAGATCATCTTATTTTTCTGTACTTCTTTATTTATTTCAGCTTTCATCACCATCACCTTTTGATAGTATGTCAAGCTAAATTGTTAGCTCAATAATTAGATTCTCCATAAGCAAAACTCAAATAGATGTGCATATTCTTGGTGATTCATCTATGACATCTTTGTATAATCCTTTGTAACACAGCTTCATTACTCTCTTTCCCTTCTGCAAGGCAAAAGTTCTGTAATCTAATCCCATTGTAGCATCATGCGGCATTCCGAAATAAGGGTCCAGTCTACATGTTGGTCATTCTCCTCTCCTGTGATCAACTTGATGGCTTCTTGGTAGACACAAATAAGAAGTATATTTCGAAATCCACCCTCCCATGCACGTCTCAGACCAAGCAAGCAAGCCCAAAGTTCTACAAAAAAAAAAAAAAAGAGTCTCCATTTCCTAGATTCAACATGAAATTAAGCGTCCAGCAAGAGACCATTGTGGTCTGTAATGAATTCGAGAAGAGGCGGCACAATGGACGTGCACATAAAATCTGCCTGGGATGATCCTTATACTAGAGGAGTCACGAGGCGAGACTTGACGAGAGCTAGTAATGGCACTCATCCTCCAGGACGCAGCTAAATGATTTGACAGAATAGCCCAAGTATGTTTCTCGGAGCGATGGTGACGTTCTCAAATGTGAGTCTATTCCTATATTTATAGAAAATCCAATAGAGAGAATTCTAAAGAGTTCTTTCCAATTATCATCACATTTACCAACCTTCACGTGGAGATTCCATTGCACCCAGCTTCGAATACTCCTTCGACAGAAATGTTGCACCAGAGAGGGCTTTATAATGGAAGGCCACAAAGCCATAGTTTCTAGGCAATCATCCCAAACATGGAGGGTGCTCTCAATGGGGCGTCCATAGTGGGTGCACAAAGCGGACTGCGTTGAGGAGCTTCTATTGTAACACCAACCACGTAAAAATCGACGTCGCTGAGGGACGGCTAGTTTCCAAATTTTAGACCACAACGGGTTTGCCTCAGCAAGTAGGCTTGGAGGGAGCTATAGGCAGACTTGATTGAGAAATGGCCATGCTTCTCGAGCTTCCATCAAACTGTTTGAGAGCCGTTCGCATTCACAACTTGTTCTTCATGACATTCCAACCCATCTTCATCATGAATGAACAGTTCTGAAGATGGGTTTGTCGAGCCCCCAGTCCGCCATTTTTCTTGTCTGTACATACTATTTCCTAGCAAACTAGATGAGCCCTTCTCTTCTCCGCAGTAGATCCCCAAAGAAAGCCCCCGGCATATTTATCCACATCATCACAGGTTCCCGGGGGGGGGGAGATCTGCATAGAATAGAGGAATAGATTGGACCGCCCAGACACGTAATAAGAGCGTGCCTTCTAGAAAAAGATATCAAATTCACCTTCTAACTACTCTACTTATGGTGAGAACCCACAAGAAAAAAAAATCCCACGAACCCACAGCCGATCTGAATATACGCACCCCAAGAACGTAAACAAAGGTCTGGTGATCCACTTGAACCCTTGAACACGGGAGAACAAGGACCTGAAGTGTTTAAAGACGCCACAAGGTTGATCAAGCCTTAATAAGTCTGTTAGTTCAATGAAGAACCCTAGAGAGAACCCCTCTCAAGTCAAAAATTGCAAAATGCAAGTTTTTCATTCAAATTCCAAATCTCCTCCCAAAATGAGGGTTACAATATCTTATAGAGGATACATTCAAGATCTGACCTAAAAAGCATTAAATGCAATCTAGATAATCAAAATATAATAAATTCATAAGGACTTGATTTAGGTAACTTGGAAATTCAAAAGTCAAATCTGCCAACTAATTATGAATTTTCGCTCAAATGCATTTAATAAAATATAATCAGCATATCAAGCCCAAAATATGATTAATTAAGCCCAAATGAGTCTTCTCATGTGTTGTACTTGATCCAAGCTCCTTAAATTGAAGTTTCCAAGCCCAAGATATGATTAGTAGCTCCACTTTCAGCCCAAATGACATTAGTGACGTCCTCAGCATTTTTATCCAGATTTGATACTCCAACAAATGCCATTTGCTTTGTCAAGGTGTCCTGCACTAGCCCACTCAAAGCTTCCTTAATTCTTTTAGCTCTTGCTCTTGTGATTGGTCCAGTTGGGATTTGCAATGGATCATTGGAAGTTGAGGAGTTAGCTTACTGTATCGCATCAACTTATCACCTTGTCCACCGTAAATTGATAAGTAGCTTTTCTGACTCAGTCATGGTGTAAGGGAACACGTGCAGATATTTACCAAGATCAGCCCTCACCGTAAACCAAAGCTCTTCACTCAATTGGCTTGCTCTATTATGGTTTACGTTACCGGAGAAATGAGCCCTTGTCTTCTGCTGACTAACCTTCTGGCCAGAGCAGGGGCAAAATTTTCCCAGCACTTGTTTAATCACTTGGACTTGGTCAAGAGAGGCTTCAGCGAAAAGAATAAGATCTTCTGCAAAGAAAAGATGAGACTAGTGGACCATCATTTCTTAACTTAATCGGCCGCCAATGCTTGAGATGTCTTTCTTTCTAAATCAAGGAAGCAAGTTTTTCAATGGAAATAACAAACAGATAGGGAGAGATGGGATCACCTTGGCTTATGTTGTGGGACAGTTGAAACTCCTGAGTCATACTGCCTTCCCACAAGATTTGCATATGAGGAGAGGAGACACAATGCTTAATAACATTGAGAAGCAGTAGGGGCAACTCAATTTCTTTCAAACAATAAAAAAGAAACTCCCAACGGAGCAGATCATATCTTTTTCAAGATCTATTTTAATCATCATGAAGCCTTTCTTTCCCCTTCATAGTTCTCGAAAGGACCACTTCCTGTGCTATAATCACATTATCTGAGGCCAATCTACCAGGGACAAAACCACACTAATTAGGACTAATAATACTAGGAAGGATAGGCTTAATATAGTTTGAGACCGCCTTGGTAATATTCTTGTAGATAACATTGCATAAACTAATGGGAAGAAAATCTTGAATTGTTTGTAGTTGATCGTTCTTTGGGATAAGGATGAGGAGGGTCCCATTAACATCAGGTATGATAGAAGGATCAGCGAAGACCCGCTGCACAAAATCAAGAATAGAGTTTCCCACATATTCCCAGTGGCTTTGGAAGAAAAGAGCTGCATTGCCATCTGGGCCAGGTGATTCTAGACTCCCATGTTGAAGATAGCCTGCTGTATTTTCTCATTTGCCACGTTGCTGCTTAGAGAGGCTCCTTCTGCATCAGAGATACTTGGGTAAGAGAACAAACCATTGAGGACCACGTGGGAGCTTGATTCCTCATGAAATAGCTATCTATAAAACATCATGGCCTCCTTTTTAATTAGCTCTTTAATTTGTCAGTTTATAAATTAGATAAATCAGCTAGTTTGAGAAAAAAATGATATATGAGAGATTAAATAGATTAATATCTTACATTTAGGTTTAAAACTTACCCCCTACTTAGGTCCTCTATTTAGGATCGAGGAATAGTTTGCTTGCAAATTTATTGCTCCAACACAATCACCACAAACTTTGATTTCTGATTGTAACATTCCTCACTTTACTCTAGATGCCACACTGTAGGCCTGGAAGCAAATTGCCATATGAGTTTTGAAGATGTAATTTTTCAGGTTTATCTATCCTTTCTTTTCTTCCATTTGAAGATGTTTACTGCACCAGTTGCTTTGAAAGTTAAATCAAAGTAAAAGGTTTAATATCACTGCAATTTTTTTTCATAAACATGTGATCATCACCAGCCACATGCATATACACCAGACCAATGTAAAATTCTGCTGTAAAATTGACTTTTTGTACTAGTGCTTTTTTATTGGGTTAAGCTACATCCAACACCCGCAAGTATTGAACTGAATGCATCCAACACCTCAAAATATTTTGTGGTGTATCCAGTAGTTTGAAGTATTTTATTCAGATGCGTCCAGCACTATAAGGTATTTTTTGGTGCATCATGTACCTCAAAGTATTTTTTTTTAGGTGTATCCAGTATTCAAAAATAGTTTTTGGTGCATCTGGCATTAAGGCAAAAAAAAAAATCTTCAAGATGCCGAATGCACTTGAAAAATACTTCAGAGTGTTAGATGCATTACAAAATACTTTGGGGTGCTAGATACACTACAAAATACTTTGAGGTGCTAGATGCACCTGAGAAAATACTTATGAGTGCTGATGCACCTTAACCCTCTTTTATTTTGTAACATAGTCAAAAACCTTTTCATTCACATTAAAGCAAATATTACTTCTTGTCTGGGATGCTTCTCCAGAATTTGCCCTTTTTATTACATTAGGCATAACCTCATTCCCAGGTCTGAATGTTCAAGGAAGATGTGTTTATTACTATCAACTTTCAAAGTCCTGCAAATAAATAAGTATAAAAGTTATGGTGATTATATTGCTCTCATATTTTGAACAAAATTTATTTTCCTTTCACTTTCATCTATGTATCCGCATGCTCTAACAAACTATAGCATTCCTCATATTTGGAGAAAACTACAGCGGCTCTCTTGTGTTTGGAGTTCAAGATAAGCCAGTTAATCTCTACATATTTTTTTGGTATTTCATACTATATTGAAAATAAAATGACATTGACTTATTTTAGAAAAAAATATATTTACATGCAATAATATATGCAGATGCTACTTCAGATGCACTCACAAGTTTGACCAGGGATGTGAAGCAACCAAATAAGTACAAGTAGGAGTGGAAATAGGTCAGGCCCCTATCAGGGGACCTATGGCCTGGCCTAGTTAAGGCCTAGCCTGTTTATTAAAAAGGCTAGGCCAAGGCCT